GGTGCACACGCACCCGACACTGGTACAGACACACATACAATGCTACAAATACACATAAGTACATATTGACACACATATACACTGGGTCCAGTGGGAGCTGGAAGGGGTTTTAATGAGATGGCTGAGGTAAGATGGAGAGGACTGTAACTATGCCAGTTACAGTCCTCTCCATCTTACCTCAGCCATCTCATTAAAACCCCTTCCAGCTCCCACTGGACCCAGTGTGGTGAGGCTGCTCCAATGTTTCTCTTCTATCTATCACCCCTCTTCTCACTCTACCTCCTCTCTCTTCTAGCAACTCTCTGTGCACCAGGAAGAAGTAAAGTGTGGTCACTTCCTCCCAGTTCAGGGGAACAGCCAAATTAACAGGGACCTAGTAGCGCTGCTAAACCTAACTGGCTCGTGATCTGAGTAGCCTATCAAGAAGCTGCAAGTTTGAGGGTGAGCCGATGGGAGATGCCCAATACCAAAATTAAGATAGCAATTGTGTCCTTCGTCCTACAGTAATTTAATTATTTATTTCTGTACAGTGGGCTCAATGCAAATTAAGATACTACCTTTTGGGGGATTTTGCTGTGCATAGCTCTCTTGTGGTCTGGGCAAATGTGAGGTTGACAGACAAGTATTTGTAACTAGAAAAGTTGGACGCACAGGTACAGGAGTGGTTAAGGGCCCTGCTCAAAATGAGCTTGCATACTACAGGGTGTGAGGTATAGTGATGCAAAAGGTAAGGATAGGGTAGAACAGTAGGTTGCTAAATTGTTTACACTGAGGGCTTAGGGTTTTTTTGAATGACAGTTGCAGGAGAGGAAGCAAGGTGTGGGGTAGGAATGCTATTAACAGTTCAATTGAAATGCATTCCTGAGGAAGTGACTTTTCAATGATTTTTTTAAGGAATGGAGACTCGGTGAGAGTTTAATGGAGGAGGTAAGGAACGATACAGTCCTAGAGAAGTCTTGAACGTGAGCATCAGAGGTGAGAGATCAAAAAGAGGATAGGCGCATGTCTTTAGCAGAATGTAGGGGCCTAGACCAGTGATGGCGAACCTATGGCACATGTGTCACAGGTGGCATGCCGAGCCCTCTCTGTGGGCACGTGGCCATAGGTCGCTGGGGAGTGGGGCCGCTGGTGCCAGTTGGCAGCAATTCAGAGTAGGCACCTGCTTGCCCAAAACGGCAGGCGCCTACTCGACTTTCGTATCGGGAGGAACTGGAGGCAGAGGGAGGGATCTGGAAAGCAGCTCTCCTATTCTCTCGAGAGCAGGATGTGTGGAGCATTGCCATGCGTTACCATGGCGACGCTCCACACAGCATTGCGTGGGAGGAGAGGAGAGGCTGCAGCCATACACATGCTAACCACCGGACCACCTGGGCTGGATGTGTTCCACCCTCCTTCACCAAAGGTAAGAAGAAGTGAGAAGGGGATAAAGATTTGTCATTATTAAAAAAACAAACACATTTGCTACCTGCAGCCAACACCCCACCCCCCACACACACACACACACTGCCTTCCCCCTACACAGCATCCCTACCCCCCCACACACACAGCACCCCCTCACACACTCTGCACCCATACACACAAACACATACACTGCACCCCTCAATGCAGTATGTGTGTGTGTTTTCTGCAGTCTGTATGTATTCAGCAATCTGTGTGTGTTTGTGTGTATGTATTCAGAAGTCTGTGTGTGTGTGTGTGAATGTATTCAGCAGACTGTGTGTATGTTTGTATGTATTCAGCAGTCTGTATGTACTCAGCAGTCTGCCTGTATGTACTCCGCATTCTGTGTGTGTATATTCAGCAGTCTGTGTGTGTGTATTTAGCAGTCTGTGTGTGTTCGGTGTGTGTATGTATTCAGCAGTCGGTGTGTGAATGTATTGTATGTATTGCTTTTGTTGGAGTTACTAATAAATATAAGCTAAATTTTATCTATAATTTATATCATTATTTATAATTTGTATCATCGAACTCTCTGTTCTTCTTTTAAAACAAAAGATGTTAATTAGGCACTCAGGCTCAAAAAAAGTTTGCCATCACTGGCCTAGACAGTACATACTTGTGTATTAGGGAGGATAGATAGGTAGGAACCATGTAGATATTTGTAAGTAAGTACCAGAATTTTAAATTGCACCATATAATCTTATGGGAAGTCAATGTAGGGACTGAAATAGGGGGGATGCGGGCGGACAGGAAGATGAGCCTTGCTGCTGCTTTCATTATGGACTGTAATGGGGCAAGTTGGGAACATGTAAGATTGCTGAGAAGTGGATTGCAGTAGTCAAGATGAGAGGTTTGCGGCATGGACCAGCACCTTAGCTGTGTGTAGCGTTAAATAGGAGTGGGTGCATACTATTGTTTTGAGATGGAAGCGGCAGGATTTGGCAATCGACTGGACATGAGGGGTGAGGGAGAGATTGGAGTCGAAGAGAAGACCTAAGCAGTGAGTCTGCAAGGTTGTGTTGATGGTAGTGCTGCTGACTTGGAGGAAGACAGACCTGTAAGTAGCAACACTTGAGGGAGGAAAGACAATAAATTCTGTTTTGGACAGGTTAAGTTTAAGGAAGTGAGCAGCCATCCACTTAGAAATAGCAAAGAGGGGGGCATGGCTAGCTGCCGAGCATGATGGAAGCATAAACCACAGCTCCGGCTCAAGAGCTTTGAATCCAGCACCATCCAGGTGTACAAGCTGTAGAAAAATGCCTCAAATCAACGATGTCTCAACCTAAGAACAAGAAAACAAATACTAAGGCAGAAAAAAAATAATTTTTTTCACACAAAAAACGGCGCCTGACCAAGCAGACCAACAGGCCTCAAATAAAGATGGTGACAGCATGAAGGGAACAGACACCCTGCAACAAGGAGGGGATCAAACTAAACCACAAGGAAAACTCACAGCAGGCTATCTTACGAACGCCTTGGACGAACTTTCCAGGAAACCGATTGCTTCATGGCAGGCACCCATGGATTCCCTTCATAAAGACGTGAAAGAACTAGGCCAATGCACAGCGTATACTGAAAACAAAATGGAGGAATTTACCTCTGCACATAATGATCTGGCAAGCCACGTGGAAGACCTGGCGCACATCCGCGTCAGAGGAGTGCCTGAAAGTGTCTTGCCGACAGAATTACCAGCTTACGTAAGGGGCCTCCTCCACGCATTTGCACCCAAAATTGCTGCTGACATGCTCCTGTTGGACCAAATGCACACAAATGTCCCACGGCCCAGACACCTACCTGACACCCAGGGATGTCCTTCTGCGTGCTCACTACTACCATATTAAAGAGCACATCCTCAGAGCAAGCAGGAACAAGGTGAAACCACCTGAAGAATACCCGACGGTGAAGCTATTCATGGATCTCTCCTCAGCGACACTGCGCAGAAGAAGAGACTTTGCTCCGATCGCGGAGACTCTTAGATCCAATAGCATACAGTACCGCTGGGGATTTCCAGTCAAAATGCTGATCAACAGTGAAGGGAAAATGATCTCCATCACCTCCCCTGAAGACGGCCTCTGCCAGATGAGATCGTGGGGACTTGAAAATTTGCCTGACGAACAAGCAGCCACCCAACCTAAGAGACTGCCACTGGACTGGCGCAAAACACCTCATAGACGCTAATCGCCCTGAATTGCCTCTTGGGCACACAAACTCTCAGCACAGCAAGTGTATCTTAAGCTTTAATGTTGCAGGTTCACCCTAATAATTTTTGTTCTGTATTGGGCTTGAGGAAGCCACTGTATTAATGCATATGCTGAATTGGCAATGTCAGTAGATAGAAAATGCACATGTTCCCCCGAGTGCCCACACTGCTCCCTATAATGCAGCCACCACAACCCATAAGCAAAACGGGCAAAAAAGCAAGGCCCGCCAGTAGTTCTCTGCTACCCACTTATACCGGGGAATCCAGGGAAACCCAGAGTCCCGGGCGTCACAAGGGGAAACTAACACCGCCTGCCCAACTCCCACAGTCCTGCAAGGGGGGGTTAAGACAAAGAAATCACTATCACTAAATGGGAGAAGGGAACTGTAGCCTATCCCAGCAAATCCAATGCCAGGGATAGGGATAACACAACCAAAAGTGGGATGTGAGAGGGTGACTTACCTATCTCCATAGCGGACTTTTAGCCCCCCAAGTAGGCCACCAGGCCGCACTTAAAACCAGTAACCAGAGAAGAACCACATCTAAATCTATGGGGAGGATAGTGGTAACTTTACTGCATTCATGTAACTATTTGTCAGGTTATGGAGGGGATATGATTTGCGCCACACCAAAAGCAGACACGTTACCCCTTGCACCTATCATGCCTGGGGCCTCAGAGCATAGCTGGGGTAATGCCACCATTGGGGAACAGGACGGGCAACCCTCCCATAGCCACGGAACCCTTATCCCCGCCCTCCGAAACACAAGGGGTTTCCACCACCCTTTGAATAATGATTGGGGAGAGAAAACAACAAAATGGGGTAAACAGAGGGGGATAGATAAAATGGACAAAGCGGGACCCGGGGTACCTCCATCATCACTGACTAACGAAAGCCGCAAACAGGCACAGACCAGATTATAGGGGACTTTAGCACACGGGAGGAATTGTAAAAGAGAGACTGCTGTTAGCAAGTTTAAGTGTCTATCTGAGAAGGAAAGGCAAGGTAATAAATATTATAAAATGCACAATAACCCAGCCTAGAACCTGAAACACACACACAAAAAAAGTTTCTTTAGTTTCTGTACACCCACCAAAGGTGTAAAATAGCTCACTAGCCACCCATAGGGAACAAACGTTTCCTACCCCTGCAGTGCACATGGATGACACTGTGCCCCACCAGGGGACCTGTATATAGCCCTACAACCCCTAGTTACCTCCCAACTCCCATTCACAGCCCCCTCCCGCCACCCCCCTGGAATCCAACCCCTGGCTTTAACCCCTTAAGGACACATGACATGTATGACATGATTCCCTTTTATTCCAGAAGCTTGGTCCTTAAGGGGTTAAAAAGCACTGTACCGAATGGAACCGCACCACCCCAAACCCAAGTCTGGTACAAGATGTAACAACCCCCGGACCAAATCCAAAGCAGATTAACCCCAGTGCTAAACGTCACGTTACCACCCAGGCCCACAGAACAAGAGTGCCAAGGAATAGGACTCACACCCAAACCCACTTTAGTGCTACGACAGAACAGAGAGACTGTAGGCCTAACCTTACAACCCTAGATGCTGATTATACACTTACATAATGTGAGGGGAATGAATACCCACAAACGTAGGATGTTACTAAGAGATGCAAAACAGGTCCAGGCTGACATTCTGTGCATACAAGAGACACACTTTGTCAAATCCAAAATTCCCTCCTTTGGCACCAAGGACTACCCCACTCAATACCACGTAGCCCACACTTCCAAAGCAAGAGGGGTGTCAATCTTGATTCATAGATCACAAGTAGTTGAACTACTCACACTATACACAGATAACCAAGGCAGGTACGTAATAATTACCTGCAAGATTAATGATACTATATACACGATAGAAAACATATACAGCTGTAACGTGAACCAGAGGAATTTCCTCCATAAAGTGCTATCGAAACTAGACCCACCCCAAACTGAACAACTAATAGTCTGCGGGGACCATAACCACATTTTTTACTTGGAAATGGACACCTCCGCTACACCACACCAACCAAGACGAAAAACACTACTGATGCAATGCACGTCTATGACAAAACTTATATCTGAGTTCGGCTTATACTATAGTTGCCAGACTCCTCCCTATTACCTTTCTTGTAAATGGGCACAACATTCTCTAACTTCCAATCTTCTGGGACTACTCCTGTTAACAATGATTGGTTAAATAAATCTGTTAATGGTTTTGCTAGTACACCACTAAGCTCTTTTAATAGCTTTGGGTGTATTCCATCAGGTCCCATTGACTTATTTGTCTTTACTTTTGACAGTTGAAATAGAACCTCTTCCTCTGTAAACTCACGTGTAATAAATGACTCATTTATCCTTTTTCTCAACTGAGGTCCCTTTCCTTCATTTTCATCTGTAAATACAGAACAAAAATATTCATTGAGGCAGTCAGCTAGACCTTTATCCTCTTCTACATACCTTCCTTCTTTTGTTTTTAATCTAACTGTAACGGATCACCTGGCACCCCGACTGGGTACCTCCGTTGAAAGATGCTCCTAGCGCTTCCAGAGGACTCCAAGCACTCCACCAGACACCATAAGCACCGCAGGCTGCAGCTATCTCCCTTCAGAACGAAGCAGGAACAAGCTCTTACAAGAGCTCAGTGATTATAGCAAGGGAATATGCCTAGCATAGCAATCCCTTGTAGCAGATTCCCCCAATAAGAGACAGGACTCAAGTTGAGGGTAAAAATAGAACTCTCTGGCTGCTAGCTTGCAGCCCTTTTTATTAGGTGCTCCCATGAAGGGGAGGGACACACACAGTAACGTACATTAACCAATCACACAATAGTTACATCCCACACATAGCCCTCCCCTCTACCTGTAAACTAATTATCTGTACACACAGGGAAATACAATTATCATAGGTAGGGAAAATACAGTTTTTACACAACATTCATAACTCCCAAAATATACATCACATTCGCATAAAAATACATATTCACCATCAATCCATTCAGGGGAACAACATATTAAAAAATGGCATGAATCAGACCAGGGGTTCAAAAGTTAGTAAAAGTATCTTTTGTTCCCCCTGGCTCAAACAGTAAAAGTAAAACATCCCCACAATGCATCCTGGCTTCCTCCCTTCTGCCCTGGAGATAATTGGAGAAGGAATCTAATTATCTCCAAAGACAGAGCCAAACTCCATTACCCACATGGCAGACAAAAAGACAGTAAAAGACATAAAATTACATACTGACACATTTAGTACATAAAACACACATTTCTACATATCCCCAGATAGCTTGGATCTGACTGCACATTATTAGATGAATGGCACTCAGATCACACGAATAAGCCTTTCTGCAGGGAAAATAAACAGTTTAACCTGCAGGGCCATAGTCCAAAGGCAAGAGGCGGGCAAGCAGCCCCCTCCAAGGACACGTGGCGAGGTCGGTTTCGCCACACTAACTAATCCTTGTTTTGCTTTTCTTTTCTCATTTATGTATCTAAAAAATGTTTTATCCCCCTTTTTTACTGACTGTGTTATTTTCTCTTCTGTGTGTTATTTAGAAGCTCTTATAACTTGCTTAGCCTCTTTCTGCCTGATCTGCCTACACCATTTTGTCTTCCTCACTCTGTGTTTTTTTATAATTCCTAAATGCTAACTTTTCGTTTTTAACGATTTTGGCAACATCTGCGGAGTACCACAGTGGTTTCTTGAATTTTTTGCTTTTACTGACAAGCCTAATGCATTTTTCTGTTGCCTTCAATAGTGCAACTTTTAAATAATCCCATTTCTCCTGGACTCCATTTAAATTGCTCCAGTCTGATAATGACTCCTCTACCCATACTCTAATTTTAGAAAAGTCTGCTTTTCTAAAGTCTAAAACTTTTGTTTTTGTGTGGTGTGACTCAGTCACTGTTCTCATATTAAACCACACTGACTGATGATCACTGGATCCTAAACTTTCACCTACAGTGATATCTGATACCAAATCTCCATTTGTTAACACTAAATCTAGTATGGCCTCTTTACGAGTTGGCTCCTCAACAACTTGTTTTAGAGACAATCCCAGTAGGGAGTTTAGAATATGTGCTCCTGGCACAAGTAGCTAATTTTGTTTTCCAATTTACATCAGGGAGATTAAAGTCACCAATGATGATAACTTCCCCCTTCATTGTCATTTTAGCTATTTCCTCAACTAGTAGATTATCTAACTCTTCAATTTGTCCTGGGGGCCTATAAATCACACCTGTAACGGACCGTTTTGCCCAAAAGGGGTTAAAAACCGTTTAGGCGATATTCCCCCTTTTCAGCTGCACAGACAGCTACTGCAAGCACCAACTCCGGAACTGCAACCAAGGGAATACTCAAAACTCCCGAACTGGAGACACACGAATAGCTGCTAGCAGACAAACAGGAAAAGCCCCCAAGCGGCTTACACTCCTGGCAATCAGTCTCTAACAGCATACAGTAAATCCTCCCCCAATAATGAGACGACACTTCACTTTGAGGGTTAAGCTGGAACTGATTTACTGGGGCTAACTGCCCGGCTTTTATGCAGGTCTTCCACCTGGTGGACACTCCCCTAGGGGACCAAATGGGAGACTGGGACACAAAGGGTAAAAGGACCAATCACAGACTTACACATTTCAACCATCCCACAATGCATCACAATCCCTTCTCTCTGCTCTGGAGATAATTGAGAAGAAATTCAATTATTTCCAAAGACAGAGGCAAAACTCCATTAACCACATGGCAGAAAACAAACAGTAAAAGACATAAAATTACCTACAGTTACATTCAGTACATAAAACATATATGTTCTACATATCCCCAGATAGCTCAGGTCTGAGCACACATTATTAAGCGAATGGCGCTCAGACCACACGAATACAGTTTAATCGCCATGGAGCCAAAGTCTTTACACAGTCAGTTTCATGCGAATGGGTTCCATGGGATTCCTATCTGGGGCACAACACACTCAAACAAATCTACCGAACACCCAGCAGAAAAGCACGAATAAGTCTTTTCTGCAGGGAAAAACTTAACATGGGACCATAGTCCAAAGGCAGCAGGCGAGCAACCAGGCTTCTCCAGTGTACAGTGGCGAGGTTGGTTTCGCCACACTTCTCCCCTTTACCAATCAGACTAACAGGGTATCTGACCTCATGCCGGTCAGTGCCCTTGTTAGTCCAGCAGCCCACCCACAAAACACAATCAGTAATACAGCCCACCCACAAGAACTGGTTACTACACCTGGGTAGAGGAGAATGTTGTCCATGTCCAGGCGCCTCACCATGGCTGTGTGGGTGACTGGTAAGCAGACTGGGTGGGTTGCTGAGTGGGCAGAGACCAGCGGTACTCTGTCCTGGTGCCAGCCCTACCACAGGAGTAGTCTGGTTGGAGCCTGGTTGCTGGAGGGGAAGACCGACTGTCTCCCCTTTGGCTAAACAGCCATGTCGCTGGGGGGGCAAAACCGACCGTCCCTACCACCTGTGCTGTAAGTGCAGAGACCACTTGGTGGGCTAGGCCGCCGTTGGGAGAATACTCTGCCGCTGGGGAGCCGGACCGGCTGTCCGTACTCCCTGTAGCTTGGGCACAGAGGCCACAGTCCCATCTGTGCTGGTGGGCTACGCTGCCGCTGTGGAGAGGGGGCAACAAGCTCTTCTCCCTGACACTCTCCCTGCTGGGGGAGAGGGGAACCGACTGTCTCCCCATCCTGGGGAGGGAGGATGGCACCTTCGGTTCCCTGGGACTCACTTGACTGCTGAGGAGAGGGACCAACTGTCACCTCTCCTAAGAACACACACGGCCGCTGGGGAGGACGGGCGACACCTTCAGCTCCCTGGGACACACACTGCCGCTGGGGAGGAAGGACGACACCTTCAGCCCCCTTTGGACACACACTGCCGCTGGGGAGGAAGGACGACACCTTCAGATAGCTCAGGTCTGAGCGCACATTATTAAGCGAATGGCGCTCAGACCACACGAATACAGTTTAATCGCCATGGAGCCAAAGTCTTTACACAGTCAGTTTCATGCAAATGGGTTCCATGGGATTCCTATCTGGGGCACAACACACTCAAACAAATCTACCGAACACCCAGCAGAAAAGCACGAATAAGTCTTTTCTGCAGGGAAAAAAGATGTCTTTTAACATGGGGCCATAGTCCAAAGGCAGCAGGCGAGCAACCAGGCTTCTCCAGTGTACAGTGGCGAGGTTGGTTTCGCCACAACACCTACACGAGTTACTGTGTGATTACCAAATTCTAACGTAGCCCAAACGGACTCTATGTTTGCCTCACTAACTTTTATTAGGCTAGATTTTATGCTATCCTTCACATACAAGGCCACCCCTCCCCCTTTCTTGCCTTCCCTATCTTTCCTATATAAAGAGTACCCTGGTATTGCTATGTACCAGTCATTTTTCTCATTGTACCATGTCTCCGTAACAGCGACTAAATCTACACTATCAGTTGCCATTATTTCCACAAGTTCATGGATCTTATTCCCTAAACTGCGAGCATTTGTAGACATGACTCTAAGCTTATCATTTTTTAACACACTTGCTACAGGCACCTTCTGTCCTTGTTTTGGGGACAATTGGATTGATGTTTTATCACCCTTTTGCCCCCCCCTCCTAGTTTAAATACATCCTAGCAAAACCTCTGAACTGCTCACTGAGAACATTTGTTCCCTTTTGAGAAAGATGCAAACCATCTTTTTTGTACAGCTTATCTCCATTCCAAACAGAGCTACCATGAGAAATAAAGCCAAATCCTTGCTCCCGACACCATTCACCAAGCCACAAATTAAAGTCCCTAATACGCATCCGCCTGTCGTTCTGAGTGTTATGCACAGGCAGAACTTCAGAGAATGACAGTGTGGAAGCAACCTGCCGTATATCATTGGCAAAAACCCTAAAAACTTCCTTAACCTCTGAAACCTCATTGCAAGCCAAGTCATTTGTCCCTAGATGGACAAGTACATCCAATTCCCCTTCCTGCTTTGCTTGCTTAACAATATTACAGCAACGTCTCCTGTCTCTGTGAGCAGTAGCTCCGGGAAGACACCTCACAAGACCACCATTGTCCATCTCTACACCTCTTATGATGGAATCCCCCAACAACAACTGCTTTCTATTAGGCCTCACCATAGTCTTCAAGCCGGTCTCCACAACATCACTAGTCTCAGTGCCTCTCTCCACAACACCACTAGCCTCAGTGCCTCTCTCCACAACACCACTAGTCTTAGTGCCTCTCTCCACAACACCACTAGCCTCAGTGCCTCTCTCCACAACACCACTAGCCTCAGTGCCTCTCTCCACAATACCAGCCATTGTGGACCCACTCACGAATAGACCACATATTGATATCAGCCCCAACCCTACGTAAGACAACACATGCAAGACAGGAGACATTTTGTGGTCGGACCACGCCCCAATAACCCTGACAGAGACATTCAAGTCCAGAGGCCAAGCTCCATGGAAACTCATTTTTCAGTTTGACGAGCACTTCAAACTGAAACTAGACAAAGACCTACAGGAGTATTTTAAAACCAATCCCACCCCAAACAGCACAGCACTGACACAATGGCTGGTCCACAAGTCAGTAATCGGGAATACTCATTAGCCGAGCGGCCCACATCAAAAAGCAGCACAAACCAAGCTCTTGACACTACTGAGACAATTACGAGATGCTACCACCCATTTCCTATCTCCATCGCCAGCCCTGCTGTCCGTCATTGACCAGACACAAACACTGATTAACGAATGGCACCTCAACAAAACCACTTAAATGATGCAGAAACTCAAGACACGAGAATGTGCCTAGGGTGATAAAGCAGGGAAACTACTTGCATCATGCCTCAGATAGCAGAGACAATCATCGAAAATCCCATTTCTTACACACCCGGACGGCACAAACATATATACAATCCCCAACACAAGCAGATGAACTGGCAACATATTACGCGGGACTCTACAACCTCAAACAAGACAACACCATTCACTAACCAACAAAAACAGACATAAATAATTTCCTGGCTCAAGTCCACCTACCAACCCTCTCCCCAGAACAACAACAAACACTACAAAACCCCATTATGATAGACGAAATTACCTCCACTATTAACACACTGCCCACCAGGAAATCACCGGGACTAGATGGGTTCTCAAATCAATACTACAAAACATACCACAACATGCTAGCCCCTCCCCTGCTTAGAGCCTGCTAGACTATGCTGCAGACCAGTTCTACAACAAAAATAGATGCTGATGGCCCATAAAAGACAGAACCTTAGACCCATATCACTACTGAACACGGATATAAAACTATTTGCGCAATTTTTGCTAACAGGTTAGCAAATATAATCCCAGCCATTGTACATGATGACCAAGTAGGATTTGTGAAAGGCGGACAGGACCAGGAAAGTGCTGGACCTAATGCACTGCCTCCGGGAGGGTGGGGGGGAGGTAGTGTGTTCTTCTCCCTGGATGCAGAAAAGGCCTTTGATAGGCTGAACTGGTCCTTCCTCCTTGAGGTACTCAATAAATGTAATTTCCCACCGCAATTTCTAGCAGCAGTAACTACACTCTACAGCAACACCTCCGCCAGGGTCACTACGAGCGGGTTCATCTCAGACCCACTGACCATTTCTAATGGATCACGCCAAGGATGCCCACTGCCCCCCCCCTCCTATATATCCTAGTGCTGGAACCCTTGACCACTTGAGTTCGCAACAACCCACACACAAGGCATACGGGTGAAACAAAAATAATACAAAGTGACTATTTGCCGATGATATACTACTTACAATATCCAACCCAGAGACCTTCCTCATACAGTTAACAGCTCTCCTAGAAGCCTACAATAAATGTTCCTACTATAAATTGAATGTGACCAAAACACAAGCCATGAGCATCAATCTCCCCAGCATACGAGTGCAAAACTTGAAATCCCAATTCAAATTTGATTGGAGAACCGATCACCTTACCTTCTTAGGTATAAAACTTACAGCATCACTCACCCACCTCTTGAAGGCAAACTACACAACACTACACAATCAGGTGAAAACGCTCCTTCAGCGATGGCATAAAAAATGATAATCCTCCCAAAATACCAATGCCTATTTAGGACCCTCCCCATAAAAGTTCAGGTGCCCTATTTCACAGAAAATCAAGCACTATTGAATACATTTATTTGGGCGCAACACAAACCCAGAGTAGCCATAACCGCGATGTTCAGACGCCATACGAGAGGAGGCATGAACCTCCCTAACCTATAATAGTACTATAGAGCAGCCAACATCAAACCCATTATCACAGCACAAACCCAAGAGAAACATCCACAATGGGTAGCACTTGAGTCTGGCTCAGAACCAGGGCAACACTTTCTATCGATCATGTGGACCCCTCCCCTCCTCAGACCCAAGAGTACACAGATGTTGCCAACTACAGCTTTGACTAAACATATTTGGGAGGCCCAGAGAGCCACTCTATGCAGGACAAAAGCATACTCACCGGCAATGACGATCTCCACATTACAGATGTTAATCCCAGACTTTAACTCCCACTTATGGTAAAGACATCACATCATATACATCACACAACTGGTACAGAGACAGACAATTTTAACATTCGCCCAACTACAAAAAGAGTACAACCTTCCGAATACAGCTGAATTTTCATACCTTCAAGTAAGGGCATTGTTACATAAACACTATATACCAGCTATGAAAAATGTAAGTGAGTTGCGGCTGACGGCCTTCGAAAGGGTAATGACAACACAATTACTAGCTAAGAAATCAATTTGCTACTTTATACCAGTCTAAATACAGACACGGATATCAAAACACTGCCATTCACCTGAGCATGGGAACCTAAACCTCCCAGACAAAATGTGGGAAAAGCTATTCGCAACCCACAAAAAGCTAGCTTTATGTTCATCCCACATAGAACTGTCAAAAAAGCTACTATATCGCTGGTACATAGTGCCGAAACAGCTACATAAGATATACCCAATAGTTTCTGTTCAATGCTGGAGATGTCTCAATGACCTAGGAGACATGCTCCACACTTGGTGGGGATGCCCAAAACTATCAAAATACTGGCGTGAGGTAGCCAACCTCGTAACTTCTATAACGGGACTCACCGTGCCGCAGGTCCCGGAGACTTTTCTACTACATGTATATCCCCAAAAAATGACAAAACCGATAGAATATATTACATACCAAATAAATATAGTGGCTCTAACACAAATCAGCAGAAAGTGGCGTAACACTGAACCCCCAACAATCCATGAATGTATACAGCTGGTGAACCATAATAAAACCTTGGAATGCGCAGCGAGAATAGCAGCGAATCAACAGTCCAAGGTATGGAGAATGGGCTATGGCGACAAATGCCAACACACCTACCACCAAGGGGCCAGACCCAACCGCAGCGCCAACAGCCGCACTCACATAGGTAAATTGTGTAAAGAAGTTAACTAAAATTGGTGAAGATAAAAAATAGACACAGTATATAATTGACGTAATAACACTGAGCATTCGCATACCTCAGGCTTAGGCCACCATTGAACCTCAGATTGGCCTTTCCCTACACAGAATCACACACAGAACTTGCCTCTGTGGCTCACTGAAGGACCACATGTCAGACAAAGAAACAGGGCATATAAACTATAGTGATGTTGCGAACTTGCCGTGAACGGTTCGAGACATCACTAATAAACTACACGCAGGATTAAAGCACAATACACCACAAGGGGGAAAAAAAAAACGGTACAAAGAAAACTTAACCCCCAGAGAGACTCACAGTCCAGTGGATCATCCCCCCCCTGACCTGACCTACCCAAGTTTTCCACCCCAAGGTTAAGCTTGAAAAAGCCACAACA